TCTATACTAGCATGCAATTCCGAAAGCTCCAAAAATTAGGCATATAAAGGCATCTCTCGTAGCATTAAATCTTGAGCAGATCCTTAGCCCTAATCTAGCATTCAATTCTCATAACATATAACATAACAAACATGTATGGGTATTATGGGAATCACTTACTTGAGTTTCAGTTGAATTCACGCATCACACCCTTTTCTTCTTTAAAATCTTTTTAGAAAAATCATTTTCTTTCAAAAATATTATCAATACCTCAGTTTGAGTTCAGACACACCCAGAAGTATGTCTGAAACCCTCGAACCAAGGCTTGATACCAAAGTGTAACGTCCCAAAAATTCATAGTAAAATTTTTATTTTAAAAACATTAAACCATACAAAAGATTTGTTCCAAAAACGATTAAAGCAAGTATTTTATTTAAAAATAAGATTAAAATCATAATTTTCCATTGCGGAAAACATTGGGGGATGCTTTCTAGAAGGGTTTCTCACACCTTCTGGACCATAAAAATCATAGCTTTAGGGACATGCATGTCCATTGCATTTCCTTTCCATTTTTACGGCAAAACAAGGGCAAAAGGAGCCATGTTTCCATGCATGGCCTCAAAACTCAACTCTACTTCATATCTAAAGATTCAAATGCTCCAAATGACCTGGAGATTCATAAAATTACAAACTTTATGAGGTCTTACCTTCCAAAGCCCATACTGTATGGAGAAAAGGGACCAAAATCCAAGATCTAACAACCAAGTAAGAAAAGATTGAGTCTTGAATAGTCACCCATGTCCAAAAGAGAAGTTAGAAGATGAATTTGTTGCTTGCAAGATGATACTCCTCACCAAAGGCTTCCTTATCCTTCAAAAATCACCAAAAGCACCAAGCATGAGCTCACCACTTCAATGAAGGCTAGGGTTAGGGTTTCTGAGGTGAAAGAGGGTTTGGAGGCTGAGGATGAAACCTAAAATGGCTTTATAGAGGTTTTAATACGAAGGGAACCCTAAAATAATCATGGGCTTGGGCCTGATCAGTTGCCACGCCGTGGTGACCTACACCACGCCGTGGTGGTCCAAAAGTCATGCGACTGAATTCGACCTCGCCACGTCGTGGTGGTTCCTCCACCATGTTGTGGCCACCGCCAAAAAAATCACAATCAACAGCCAAATGTATCTCGAGAGTCCGGGTGTTGCATGATGAGTACAAAAACAAAAATGACTTATTTTGAAACAAAAAAATATATTAAGGACTAAATGTATACGAAAATATTAAGGAATAAATGTGTACAAAATGAGAAATATATTACCCTTTTAAGTTATTTTTCCCGGCTAACCTAGAGTAATCGGTCATGGTGACTGAATGTGTACAGTTTAACAAGTTGAAAGGTTAAATGTGGACGAAAAAAAAAACTTAGTGACCAAATGTGTACAAATCGAAAAATATATTACCCTTTTAAGTCATGATCCCTTCTTATTAACTCTAAAATAGAGAACGAAGCCTAATAGTGCCGTTTGTCACCTCGGTTTTATGGCTAAAAGCCCTAACCGAGCCGGTACTTCAAAAGTGACTAAGGGACTTTTTTTAGCCCTTCTCATTCTATTTTTTTTTCAAGATTATAGATGTGGGATAATTTGGTTGTCTTGAGTACACCAGTTATTTGGTTTGTTGATTAACTTATTTTATTTTCCTTACATGTTACATGTGTGTATATGTTGATATTTTTCTATTACTACTGCTATTTCTTTTGGAAATCGTGTTTGACAAATCTTCATTGCTGCCTGTTAGTTTGTATTTGTGTTTTAAAAATGGTTATTCCTCCCGGAGTGGTTGGTAGTTCTAATAAGTTTGAAGTAATTGATTTCGATGATCCTCTTTACATTTACCCATCTAATAATACTATTACCACCTTGGTTTCATTCAAACTCACTGGTAGAAAAAACTATCGAATGTGGAGAAGTGTTATGCTTAGATGCTTAAAGGCTCGTAATAAAGTAGGGTTTGTTGATGGTACTCTTGTCAAACAAAATGATGATGTTATTAAATCTTTAAAAAGGGAATGTTTTAATGTTGCTGTCTATTCTTGGATCATGGGGTCTGTATTTGAGAAAATATATATGCTGGTCATGCTTATTCTGAAAATGTTGAAGGATTCTGGAAAGAATTATTTGAAACATATAATAAATCTGATGGTTATGTGGTTTTTAATGTTCATCAAAAGATTAATTCACTTATGCAGAGTGGATATTCCTTCTCTGGTTAGTTTAATAAATTGGATTTTCTTTGGAAAGATTATTATGGACTCAAAAGTCTCATTGAGTATACTTGTGAAGCTGCTGCTCATCTTAATGATCATGTTAAACTCATGAAATTGATGCAATTTTTAAGTGGTTGGAACACTCTTTTAATCAAGCTAAAAGTCATATACTATTAATGGATCCTCTTCCAAATGTTAAAAATGATTTTTTTATTCATTCTCGTGAAGAATCACATCAAAAGGGTGGTTCTTTAACTAACTCTTCTATTGTTAACCTATTGCTTCCGCTTTTAGTACTCATTTTAACAATAAAGCAAGTAATAAGAAAGGAAGAAATTACATTCAATATAAAGAGTGTGGTATAAAGGGTTAGTCTATTGACAAATGTTATAAGTATGTTGGCTTTCCAAAAGACTTTAAATTTAAAAATGAATATAATCCTAATAACCAAGGTAGAAATTACACTAATAATTCTTCATCTCATACCTAATCTACTTGTTCATCTTCTGAAACCTATAAGAAAACTCTAGTGGGTCTGAAATTTAACATCTAACAATAGAATAATCAACAAGTTTCTTTTTCTCATTAATGAAAAGCCCCTAACTAATGAAGCACCTATCAATGCAAATATGACAAGTACGTTACTATTAACTTCTTATAATTCTACCATTAAATACCAAAAAATGGTCATTGAGTCGGGAGCTAATCAACATATGACAGGTTCTGATTTCATTCTTCGTGACACTATGGATGTGTCTAGAACTGATTTTTCTTGTTAAACATCTAAATAGTTCTTCGGCAAAAATTAAAACTATTAGAATTTGAACTGTCAAACTCTTTAACCCTATTTGATGTATTTGTTTTCCTGGATTTTAATATAAATCTTCTTTCAGTTCATAAACTTTGAAAAGACAACAAATGTGAGGTTGTTTTTAATAAAAATATATGTAAAATTCAGGGTTTATATTCAAATGGGATGGTGTAGAATGGTAGGGAGTTAATAGGTGTTTATTAGCTTCATAGTGTTCTTCTAGGTCCTTGGGTAATGTGTTTTGTTTCAAATCTTACTTGGCATAGTAGCTTGGCTCAATGTTTATTGATGTCGCATTATGAGTTTGAGAAAGAATGTTAGCCTAATATGTTTATTGGGATTTTTTTGGGCCCTATGTTTAGACCCTTAGCTAGGTTTAACCTAATTAGTTTTCTTATTAGTCTCTCTTTCCCTTTCATTGTATTCATACTTTCTTTTCATAATAATGAAACTCTAGCTGTATTTTGTCTCTATTATTCAGTAATTTACAGTCATATGCTTTAGTACTTGAATGCATTGTTGGAGCTGCGAATGTGTTATTGGGGCTTGAGAACGTGCTCTTAGGTGCATGGTAGGTGGCCATGCACATCACTCAAGATTGAAGATTTTCTAAATGCAGCAACATGACGTCTTGTGATCGAGGGATTCCATTAAGGGCCTAAGTATGGATGGGTTTGACACATCATAATTAGGGTTTTCCATTCTTCTCTATAAATATGCACACATCTCGATCATTATTCCAGGCTAGTTTTACGTGAGCACATTTAAGAGAAATTATTTTGTTTTGAGAGTTCAATTGAGGCGCAACTTTTGTGAGTGATTATAATTATTCTTGGATGTTAATGAAATTCTCTCTCTCTCTCTCTCTCTCTCTCTCTCTCTCTCTCTCTCTCTCTCTCCCCATGGATGTAGGTCACATTTACCGAACCGTCTTAAATATTGTGTTCGGGTTTTGCATCTTTTTAGAAGTTTTATTCATTGTGTTTTACAAAATACGTTTATCTATTGTCTGATGTTGCTTAACGTGTTTTACAGAATTCCCAACATTAATTCCTTGCCCCCAGCTGCTTAGCGAAAACCACCCTACCCCACATCCTTCTCTAGCCCATTTCTTCTTGAATAATGTGACACCGGTAACCACATCCGTTCAAGGATTTTAGATTAGCTTTTTGGTGGTCACGGTGAATGTTAGCGATGGGTGGTTGTGGTGGGGATAGAAGACGGTGTTTGTTGTCGGAGATGGATGGTGTGGTGGGTGTGGATGGTGTTGCCCAGAAAGATGACCGTAACATAACTTAATGGTAAATCGTGTATAAGAAAAGTTTAATGATAAATTTTGTATAAAAAGAAACATTAACATGCAAAACCGGTCAAAATGATAGGCATTTGAACACCTTGGATGAGTTTAATGATAAATTGTATCTAAAAATAAGAAAAGGATTAAACGTATACAAAATTCATTACCCTGTAAAATCCTTTTCCTTTTAAATTGTAACTCGAAGTGAATATATATAAATTTCCAACCGTTCGGTCAAAAGAGCAAATAAATAATTCACTCGTAGTAAAAACAATCAATCGGTTCTTTCAATATTTCAACTGGTTTCATCGTCCCTCAAAAAGCGTTTTGTTACCTACATCTTAATATCCCGAATTTGCTTTTAGTGTTGGAATTTAAGATTTAATTTTGATTTTGCTTCAACTAAGCTTGTTTTTGGTTTGGCTAAATGTTCTTTGCTTTTAGGATTTACTGACAAACTTGTCATTGTGACAATTTGACAGTTAGTTAAAGTTGACCAACCATCGACATAACCAGAGTGAATCAAAATCCATGCTAGTTTCTTTCTTGGAAGGTGTCAGTTTGTCCCCACTCCCCACAATCCATTGACCAATTAAACACACTTATATGACCAAAATATAGTCAACAATCAACCAACACTCATTCCAGCCATGAATCCTTCACTGTTTCCTTCAAAAATCCTTTCCATTCCCTTCATCACCATCTACATCTTCATCGTCATTCCAACAGTCTTTTCCTCAACTAAAACAATCTCCTATTCCGATCACTGCAATTCCTTCGTCCCTGAAGCCATTCCGACCACCATCACATACACCCGATTCCCATTTCTCGAAACCATAACCAGTCATTACACTGGCGCCAAAAACATTCTCGACCAAGATTCACTCTCACAAAGTTATATCCATTTTAGACCCAAAGATTATAACATCTTCAAAACAAACACCTCCAACACATACAAAACCCAAGCTCAATTAACTTTCGTTCCACCAAGTATATACCATTTCCAATCTAACCATTCACGATTTTATCGTCCATTGGTGTTTAACTTAGATGGGTTCTTGTCAGTTTCCACGAATAAGCTTTGTATGGTTGGATCCGCAAATTGGTTTTCCAAAAAAGGTAAACGTCTGAAACTCGATGCTGTTCTTAAGCTTAATTTACCTAGGCTTATGAATTTAAATACTAGCTTAGTCAGTGGAACCTTGGAAAGTTTAGCTTTCCCCCATGATTCAGATTACTTTGACCCGATTTCAATGATGGGATTCCCTCAAGTGTCTCAATTCAAATACAAATATTCTTTGGTTTCCAATGAAGATTGTAATGGGGCAAACGCAATTGAACATCCAGTAGCTAGTCTGGAATCTTTAGACTTATGTTCAAAGTTCACATATCGATTCCTGATTTACCAGATGGAAAGTCAAGGTAGTGGGTACCCGTTTTTATCGTTGTATGGGTTTCAGTGTTCAGTGGAAGAAAAAAAGTTACGTTTTTTAGTTGAATTTCAAAACACAAGTAATACCCGTTGGGATAAATCTTTCAATCCAAATGTAACGTTAATTGGAGATGCAACATGGAATGGGCCAAAAGAAGAGCTTTGTATAGTCGCATGTCATATCTTGAATCAAACTGACCCTTTGGGAAGTGCGCATATTGGAGATTGTTCGGTCAGGCTGACCTTATATTTCCCTGAAGTTCGGTCAATCATGAACACACATACCACCGAAGGTCAAATTTGGTTAACCAAGAAAGCGGATGATGTCGGGTATTTTGAACCAATCAAGTTTCAAAGCTTTGATCATAGTTCGGAGAATTACGGATCAATGTATGAGTTCACAAAATTGCAGAAAGTAAGACAAGTTTGCCCTCAAACAAACGTTGCTAAAAGGGAAGGGGTTGAGTACCCATCAGGGTATAATGGGGATATGAGTTTCGACATGTCTGTCAAGTACAGAAACATGGATTCCATTGGTTCTGCAATTCCGATCTTTGTCGGGGAGCAGTTCTACCACTCGTATGACGCTTTCGATTCAAATTTTGGTCCATGGCAGGACCCCACCAGTTACACCGGTCCCATGAACATCAGCTATGAGATTAGCTTCCAAATGTTTGCTAATTCAACGTCGGAATCGGGAAGCGGGATTTCGTCGTTATTCTCAACCAATAATGGTAGAGTTGAGATATCTGCAGAAGGGTTTTATGATAATGAAACCGGAAGACTTTGTATGGTTGGGTGTCGAAATCTACCTTCTTCTGGGAAGAATTCAGAAAATGAATCTTTCGATTGCGAGATTCTGGTGCAATTCCAATTCCCGAGTACTAATGGCAATAATGGAAGTTTTTTAATCAGGGGAAGCATAGAAAGCTTACGTGAAAAGACAGATGTTTTGTATTTCGAAAGTCTAAATGTTGTTTCTCTCACTTACACTAAACTCGAAGCCATGGAATCGATATGGAGAATGGATTTGGAAATTATACTGGACTTGATTTCTGGGACGCTTTCGTGCTTTTTTATTGTCCTGCAAATCTTTCATGTGAAAAAGAATCCGGATATGATTCCTTTGATTTCGGTTTTGATGATGGTGATTCTTACACTTGGGTATATGGTTCCTTTAGTGTTGAATTTCGAGGCAATGTTTTCAGAGACTCCTTATCTTCAAAACATTCAACTCGAGGGTAGTGGTGGATTGCTTGAGGTGAATAAAGTCATTGTTAGGATAGTTACAATGGTAGCTTTCACTTTGCAATTCCGTCTCCTCCAATTGACATGGACTAAAAAATTTGGGAAGGACAATAATGGAAAGGGAAAGAGTCATTGGAATCATGAGATATGGACTCTGGTCATCTGTTTACCGATTTATACTGTTGGTGGATTGATGATGTTTCTAGCGAATAGGAAGAACAATAATTACATTATCTCAAGTAATCGATCAATCTGGGGTGCTTTGAGGTCTTATGCAGGGTTAACACTAGACGGATTCCTATTCCCACAGATGGTACTTAACATGTTTAAGATTTCAAAAGGGAATGCTTTGTCTTATTTGTTTTACATAGGGAACACTTTTGTTCGAACACTACCTCATGCGTATGATATTTATAGGGGTCAAAAGAACATAAGTCACCAGTTTCATCAGTTCTATCTATATGCAAACCCAAGAGCAGATTTCTATTCACCTTCTTGGGATGTTGTCATTGCTTGTGGAGGTGTTGTGTTTGCAGTGATCGTCTTCTTGCAACAACGTTTTGGTGGTCGATTTATGTTTCCGAAGAGATTTCGGGACACTATTGAGTATGAAATGGTGCCTGTGGTAAACAATGAGTAATTAATCAATCAAAGTGTCCATGGTTTGTAATAGTTTTTCTCTTGTAACAGAGAGTATAATTTTCACTTCCTGTAAAATATATATGCTTTGATTCTTTGATGAAATCAAAGCCTAAATTTCTATGTTATTGCATTTTCTGCTTACTAAATAGTCAATAATCTATGCATTATTCTGTTTTGTAGTTAATTCTAGATCTTAATTCGTAGATCAAACTATCGAACATTTTGGAAAAGAAATTGGTTGTTGGGGGATATTTGAGAAGGGTGATGGTGGAGAACCAAATTTCTTTTGGATCGTGTAAGTTTACTTTCCAAACTGATATTTCCAACATATGCATGGATTACAGAAATCCATTCTAAGATAATCCAAAATGACACTTGTGTATCTAGGCACAGAAACACAAGTCAAATCGTCAAAAGCTAGTGGGTTCGTGTAGAAGAAGAAAAACTGATAAATGTATATGACGGCTCAATAAAGGAGTTGTATTTATACTAGACAAATTAGGATTTCCGTCTTCTATATAGTTAGGAGAATCACGAATTTAATGGCAAGAACCGTTGCGCCCTGAACTGATATTTATGCGAGTTTTACATTTTTCTAGATTTATGTCAAAGTGTGGTATAAGACCATCTTTGACCACAAAGGGACCACCGTCAGGGGCTCTGCCACTTGAACCCTGTTAGGGTCGTTGCCCCTAGGACCCTGCAAGGGGGTGCAACCCTCTTGACCCCCGTATTTCTGTCGTACCGGCTTATAATTCGACCTTATATATGCATACACTCCACATTCTCCAAACATATAATATAGAGTACAGATGATAAGCCCCTTAGCTCATATGTCAGTTCCAATTACATAAAACGTCTGGTGAAACTAAAATCATCAACAATCCTCCCCCATTTTAGTGTAACCCATAGACTAACATAAAATTATCTAAACAAACCAAACTAGTATATTAATGAAAATCTCGAAACGATTGAATTCCCATTTTATTATCAACCAATTCAAATACTTGAGAATTAGGGTGTTCTAAGAATTGAACCCTTCAACCCAACTGAATACCTGAAAGTAAAAAACATAATAGTTTGTTGAACTTTCTAGCAAAATACAACTTAACACTATTATAAAATTGTGTGTCCTAATCCTCTCATGATTGTATTAATGCCAAGTCCTCAATCTCTTGAAATGCGGCTACACTTTACAATCATGTAGGTAATTCCTTTACTTCATGTATATGCATATACAGTTTATCAAATGAATTATTAAGAAGTTAAACTTCAACTTGGTTAACATGCAGAACTGAACACATACCTAGGATGTATACCTCATGTGTTCCAATCTATAAGTCTGAGCTTTCCATATTGAATTCAACTCCTAATGTCATATTATAAGGTAATTGGGTGTCTCACCATTATAGAATTAAATGGACTTTAAGCCCATCCATATAACAGACTTGTTCACTAAGTCTCTTGTTAGACCTTTAGTTAAATGATGTGCCAAATTTTGTTGCGATTTCACAAACTCTACCGAAATCCTACCATTCATGATTAGTTCTCTAATCATATTATGTCTAACACATAAGTGTCGAGACTTGCCATTATAAACATGGCTTTAAGCATTAGCCAAAGCGGCTCCATTATCACAAAGGATAAATATAGGTGTTATCGGCTTTGACCACAAAAGAATCTCATAGACTAAATTCCTTAGCCATTTTGCTTCTTTACTAGTAGCAGCTAACGCAACAAACTCATATTCCATTGTCGAGTTTGTAATGCAAGATTCCTTCTTGGAAGCCCCAGAAATGGCATCTCCTCTAAGCAAGAACACCCAACAAGTTGTTGAGAAATGATCCTCCATGTTGGTTATCCAACTTGTACCTAAATATCCTTCTAAGACCAAAGGACTTCCCATGTAACTCAATACATAATCCATTGTTCCCTTTAGATAAACACTTTATTGACCACTTGCCAATGTTGAGCACTAGGATTACTAGTGTAACTGCTCAAGTTTCCCACTGAATAAGCAATATCTGGCCTGGTACTTGTCATTGCATACATCAAGCTACTTATCCTTAAAGTATTCTAATTGTGAAATATGAATTCCATTGTTAGGCATTAATTTAACACTTGAATCTATGAGAGTACTCATAGGAGAACATTCACTGAAATTAAACCGTTAAAGAATTTTCTCGACATAGTGACTTTGATTCATCACTAAACCTTTGTTCACCCTCTTAATTCTTATACCAAGAATTACATCTGCCTATTCCAAATCTTTCATGGAAAACATAGATGAAAACAATTGCTTTGTTTCATCTACTTATTCTTGGTTAGTACCAAAAATTAGCATATCATCTACATATAAGCAAATGATCACTCATGCACCAGTAGCATCATTGAATCTACTGTAAACAAATTTTTCACGTTGGTTTAACTTAAAACCAAAAGACAAAATAACCTCATCAAACTTTTGATGTCATTGTTTGGGTGTTTGTTTCAACCCATACAAAAATTTTACATGTTAACATACCATATGCTCTTTACCTGGCATAACAAAACCTTCTAGTTATTTCATGTGAACTTCTTCATATAATTCACCATTTAAAAAGGTTGTTTTGACATCCATTTGATGGATAATCAGATTGTGAATGCTTTCCAAAGAACTTAACAATCTAATAGTAGAAATACATGCAATCGGAGCATACGTATCAAAATAGTCAACACCGGGTTTTTGTTTAAAGCCTTGAATGATCAACCAGGTTTTTTACTTGTCAATAGTCGCATTAGTATTCATTTTCTTTTTGAAGATCCATTTTCAACCATGTGGTTTAGAACCTAGAGGCAAAATAGACAACACCCATGTATTGTTCTCAAGAATTGACGACATTTCGTCATCAATCGCTTCCTTCCAAAAGACAACATCTAGAGACTCAATCTACTGTTGATATGTCTTAGGATCATCTTCAATACTATAGAAATATGAGTATTAAAAACTTATTTCATCCCTTGAACCTTCTACTAAATATAGTTCAAAATCGGATCCAAATTTTTTTGCAATTCAGCATCTTTTGCTTCTACGAAGCTCTTGTAGTTCTTGTCCATTACCACGATCTTGACTTTCTATATTTTGCACTTCTTTAGTTCCAAAAGTTAGATCCTTAGGCCTTTGAATCGATGAAAAACGCATCTCATCAAAAATTGCATCCTATGACTCGATAACGATGTTACTTGGTACTGAATCAATAGGTTCTATTACATAGAATCTATGTGCTTTGGATTTTTTTAGCATATATAATGAATATACAATCGATTCCATGTTCTCCCAAAGTTTTCTTTTCGGGATCAATGAGTTTTACAACTCCCCGACAACCCTACACCCAAAATAGCTCAAATTTGGCTTTTTCTTGAACCCAAGTTCATATGGGACTGTTTTGTTCCTTTTATTTGGAACCTTATTTAGCAAATATCAGGCTATTAACATGGTCTCTCGCTAGAATCCCTCACTCAATATCGAGTAAGAAATCATCGAGTTTCACATTTCCTTTAAAACTCGATTTTTATGTTCAGCGATTCCATTTTGTTAGGGTGAGTATGGTGTTATGGTTTCATGAGTGATACCCATTGATTGGAGGTATATGAGATCCATATATTCACCTACCCGATCATTTCCAATATTTTTAACCGTATTGCCCAACTGCAATTCCACCTCAATTTTTTATATTTTAAACTTTTCCAATGCTTCGTTTTTAGCATTAAACAAATACATATAGCAAAACCGAGTACAATCATCAATGAATGTGACCATATACCTTTTATTTCCTAAAGATGGAGTAGAGTGGAAATACACATGTCACTATGTACAAGTTCCAAAATAGCCAACTTTCTAGAAACACTTGGAAATGGTTGTTTTGTAACTTTCATAAGCATGTATGTTTTACATTTTTACAGATTTATGTCAAAGGATGATATAAGTGCTAGGTTTTGAGCATTATAGCACTCATATGGTGCACATGCAACCTTAAATGCTTTGGATCTATGTTTTCTCTAATTATACATACATTTTCAATTTTTCCAAAGCATTATCCCTAACTAGCATACAATTGAACAATACAACTAGTTAGATGACTTACCTCTTAGAAGGACTTGTAGTTCTTGACCTTTGAAAGCTTGAGCACCCCAAGTGTGATGCCTCTAATGGTTCACAAACACCAATATGCAAGAGGAGGCTTGAGAGAATAGGTTACTTAGCACAAAATCAACTTCACTCTCTTAGAATAAATGGGTTTCGATTTTGGGACTAGGGGTATGCTTTTATAGTGTTGCTAAGCTAGGGTTACATGCATGCAAACCCTAATGCTCCATGGCCTTTCACATTCTTATGCTCCATGGGTTTAAACTCCAAGGATTATCTCATTGGTTTAGCCCATCTAAATAATCATGGATCATTGGCCCACACTATAAGAATCATTAATTTACATAATCAATCCCCATATATTTAATTAGTCTCTTTTGATCACAAAATTAATTCTAAATTAATTCTTGATCAATACTAATTAAATAATATGATTTCATATTAACATATTATACTTATAATGTATTAATAAATCATAAATAACCTTATTCTCAAAAGTCCATCATATCAAATTGCACTGGTGAAGGCAACCCAAAAGGATCATGCTACAATCGGGTCAAGTACATCTCAGTTATAGTTATGGGCTTAGACACCAAATCCAACAGTCTCCCACTTGGATACGTCTAATAACTATAACTGCCAATGCGACTTCAAGATCCGACTTAGCAATCGTAAGCTTTCAAAAGCCGCTGTCGAACTCTGACCTAGTCAGTGACGCGTCCTTCAGATAAGGGATCATATGCTCCTTTGTTCTCAAGATATCTATGCGGACAAACACATGGAACATAGTCATACTTATTGTCCTACAATTTGTACCCCGATTTCCGATTCGTCTGACATAGAACATAATTGAACACGTCAATTTAGTTCTG